GCAGTAGCAGGCAAAATTGAGAGTACAGTCAGTGAGATAGTCCAGAAAGCACATTCATAAGTTAAAAAGGTTCCCGCTGCTACCTAAATTCAAAGCGTGATTAATAGTGTATCAAAAGGTGTGTGATCCCTCTCCCTCTAGACACTAAGGTAAGGCAAGCAGTATTGTGTCACTGGGGCATCAAACACTAAGATATACTAAAGAAGACTCCTATGCAGTATTATTATCCTTATTATTAAAAACCCACCCTATTGTTATTGTTAAAAAAAACCAGTGAACCCACACCCCTGCACGGAGCAGGTTTTGCTCTGTGAGGCAGAAAAGTCGGGGTGTTTGTGTGCTAAAAGCAAGGGTTTGCTTTTACACCTCTGAGCAGCAGTGACCCTGCAGGGCTCGGAGGGGCTGCTGCCCTCAGCCCTCCCCACAGCCTTCTCCTCAATGCTACCTGCAGCTGAAGGAGCTTTTGTATCTGATTTCCTTGTTTGTGGCTCAGGAAAAGGAAGCTGATGAGAACAGAAGAAGCTGAGCCGTGATGGAGAGAGGATGGAGAGGATGTGGATGTGCAGCTGTGGGCTGGGAAGAGAAAGTTGGAGGCTCAGGGCTCGCTCAGCCTGAGCATTCACATGATGGAGAAACAGAAATCCTTATCCTGCTCCTGGGCTTTTTAACATTCCCAATAAAATACTCACTGCTAAGGATCTTTGTATGGGACAACTTTGGGTAAATTCCTTAGGAATTTCAGTTTCTCTTTTAATACCTACATTTTTGTCTTAGCAATAATGTTGCTGTGATCACGGTGGTCTGAGGGTATCAGGAAAATGAAGTTTCCAGTAGCTCCCTCTTGGGAAAAGGATGAGTGAAGGTGTTTATCTTTTCTCTTGGGCAATTATCTGGAAGGGGAGCATTTGTATCTGAGGTGATGCTCTGGCTTCTCAGGTATATTATACAAACTTTTTCTAAAAATTCACATTATTTAAAATTTTAAAAATCAATTAAAAATGTAAAAATATACCTATTTATCTGTAAATAGCAATGACCCTGCAAAATTTATTTGGACCTATTAAGCAGCATTTGAAACAAAATGCATTTTTAGAAAATCTGATCTGTCACATAGTCTGTCTAAAGAAATAGCATGGCTTTCTGAGCTGATGAGAGGTTTGGTTTTGGTAAGCTCCTTGACATTTTTTGCTTTAAAAATTGTTGTTAAGAAAATGGGTCAACAAGGAAATTCACATACAAAATCTGCACTTGAGTAACATTAAAGTCCCTTCCCAAATATTGGGAAATTTGACTTATGGCTGTTCCTCTGTCTCAGGGTCACATTATGAAAGGCCACCTTGCAACATCTCCAGCCACATCTCCTTTTCAGAGAACTCCTCAGACCACCTGAACTCACACTTGGACCTGAACAGCCCAAATATTTCGTGTCCCAGCCCCAGGCATTGCTCCATCCTGTGGGTGGGCCAATTGCAGGGTTTCTTTCCAGACCTAGACCCAGATTATGAAAAAAAAAAAAAAAAGCCCAGAAGTTTCTTGTAGACCAGAGCTCAGGCTGTGGTCCAAGGTCATGGCTTCACATTCAGCACAGACACACCTGGAACCAGGCTTGGGCACAGAACCCAGTGTGGGCGTGGGCAGCCATGGAGCAGCTCAAGATGGTCTGCTGGAAATCTGGCTTTCACATCTTCAGCTCTCTTTGGACTCCTCCATCCACACTTGGCATTGCCTAAAACTTGTTTCTGTCCTCCAAAAAATATGGGACAAGATCTGGGAGGAAGAGGGAAGCAAAGAGTAGCCCAAGAGAGGCTCAACAGAGGGACAAAGTTTGCCTGCCCACCCTTTTAAAGGTCTTTGTCATCAGAACTGCTTTATCAGCAACCCAAAACTGATTTATTTTCTTGAAGTCTGGTGGTTCTTGCGGGAAACTCCCACCAGGAATGTGTGGTACAGACATGGGGGAGCTGAGTGATTAGAAGGGAAGACTTTTCACAAAGTATTGGACTATGATTTAGGAGAAGAATGAAGTTATTTATCTCAATAAGCAACAAGCAGGACCTGTCATTGTTTATGCAGTCTTAAATAATTTCATGGAAATGATGAGTGTTATTTGTAGCTAATTCTAGTGTAAGTTAACCCCAAAAACCATGGGGTTTTCCCTGGGTGAATGAGAAATGATGATTTATGGCATGGTTGTGCATGGTGGTGTGTCAGAATTTCTTTGATATCATGCCACAGAAAAATAGATCTCATACCTTCAAAGAAAAATTATATGTGAATTCTATGTGAAATGTGTATAAAACCAGTTTTCTGCAATCACTGATTATGGGACAAATCCAACAACTTTTCAAGATACAAGTCAAAAGATCTTTATAGATTCCAGTGCAGGAAGTTGAAGAAGAAAAGCTCAATTTTTCCTATGCAACCCCTGAAGATGAACTTTAAGATCCCTTTCCACCCAAACCATTCTGTGGTTCTGTGAACGGATAATTCTGTGATTCTCTTACTCAAGAACAGTCATGTACCTGTGCTGCAACAGGACTGCATGGCATCATCCTCATCGTCATCCTCACCTGGCATTCCTGCCTCTGTGTCAAATTTCTAGCAGGCCTTGCAAAGTAATTGCAAACAAATAAGAGAATAAATCTTTGTTATCTCTGACTTCAACAAAATCTGCAGTGAGCAGCTGGCTGGAGCAATGTTGATTTTTGCCTCACCAAATGCAATTTCCATTCTTGTGGTCGGTAGAAAGCCCAGGCCACACATTTGATTTAGGACCTGCTGACACTTCTTGTTCTAGCAGAAAGGATCTCATTTTGGAATACACCAGAGGCAAATCTGCACAATTTACAGGCATTTGGCATTTAAAGTTGTCACTGTGTGGAAGTCAAGGGCATTGCTGTGTTAACTGTGCACAAAGGAATCTGGAGCCAGAAGGAGTTTTGGAGCACAAACAGAGAGGGAAAAACTGCAGAAATTAACAAAAACATGGTTCAAGAGGGGAAAGAAAAGAACTAGCGTGGCTGGAAGCCCAGTTTCTCCCTAAGAACAAGGTTTTCCCCTCCTGAATGCTGAAAAATGGCAGGAAAAGTTGTGAAGACACTTCCCCCTTCCTCATTCCACTATAAGACCTGTGTGCTGGCCCTGGGCACTAGCAAAATAATGGTTTTATTTCCTGTCTGCAAGTTGCCAGACTGCACCCACATCTTCCCTAAGACCAAAATTATCCTGGGTCTCCCCTGGTTGCTGTGTTTGGTCAAGCAAACAGGAGGAGAGAAAAAGGCTGAGTCTCCCTTCACCCCAAGCAAATCAATGTCCAACTTCTCAAAGGCCACACAGAAATGAAGCTGTCACCTAAATAGCCTTAACAGGCTCTTGATATGACACAGGGAAAATGTGGAAAGACAGGGTTTGAAATCACAGCAGAAAACACATGTGGGATTTGGGCTGTGGATGCACAGCAAGGTTCAGAGGCACAATGCCAGCCGTGGTGTCCCAGCCCTGGAAACAGATCCTAAACCAACTTCTGATCCACCCCCTTGCAAATAAAAACCCCTACCAACTTATCCGTGTAAAGGATCACTTTGTGGCTTTGTTTTGGTCCCAAAAGAAACTTGGAGCATCACTTTTCCCCTTGCCTTCCCCCAGCTGAAGGAGTTGCTGAGGTTCCTGGTAATGACACAATGACATTCCCAAGAGAAAGTGCTTCCACAACGAAAAGGAGCAGACTGGGATTGGCACAACTTGCGGGCAAGCACGGGCAAGAGGCTTCTGAAAGACCATGAAGAAATAAAGCAGAGCCTCTTAACTCAGCTTGAGGGATCCAAACAAACCAAAGGATGTCCCAAGAATGTCGGGGTGAGATTCTTGGCAGGGCAGAAGAAGAAAGGAAAGATTTTCATGGGCATAGTGTGTGCAATAAAGTGTTCAGGCACGATGCAAACTGTCAGAAAAGTGCCCACTCTGACCAACAGGGCTTCCAGAGGATGGAGCTCAGCACTTCACTCACAGCAAGGCAGGGACCACAGCATCCTGCATGTCCATCCTTCCCCTTTGCCTGGTGGCTGTGCCTCCCCAACAGTGCTGTTGGCCACGGGAATGGCTTGGGATCATGGCAGCCCTCCAGAGGGGTTGCCTTTGGTTCGTCTTTGCTTCCCAAGTCCCTTGTCAGCAGAAGGAGAGATAATTAAATATAATACATGGTTAAAAATATAAAATTCCATCCCCATAGTGTGTTTTCCTCCTTCTCTGTCTCATTTCTCTGCCCTCTGGATTGACCCTCTTCTTGCACTCAAGCTCATATTTCTGAGGTTTTCCCAAGATGGGATTATTTCCAAACTGCTCTGGTTCAGAGCAGTACCCCGGCAAGTCCCACTTAAGGCCACGTCTGCTCATGGAAATATCCCAGCCACCATCCCTCTCCTCCAGGGATTTTCCATGTATTATATTGGAATTATGTCACCTTCCTGACAGCTAATGAGGAACCGTGGAGTAACAACCCCTCATTATTACATGTGCTCTGAAACCTAAGCCAGAAACAGACACGTATTCTGTCTGTTATTCCAAAACACCTAAAGGTGTGATCAGCTCCTGCCATGACATAGCAATTCCCACCTAACACTTGTCAGCCACCAGTTAATGGGATCTACACAAGCCCTGGCTGGGTGATTTATTCCTGCCCTGTGCTTCTGAAGATTCCCAAGAAATGCAAGTTGCCTACTCTGCGCCATGGAAGTTTCACCTAATGATCTTAGAAAGAGAGTATGAAAGAAATCTGGACTTCACAGCTCCAGTTCACTCATCACCGTGACCTCTTCCACAAATGCAGCCTCGGACCTGCTCGTTCCCCCCAGAGTAAGCTGCAAGAAAAGTATCTGCCAGCTAAGGGTGTCCTAGAAAGAGGAAAACCTTAGCTGCCAATCTTCTTGAGAAGTTCCACACGTGGGCAGCTGGAGCGGGCAGCTGCCAGCGCTTGGACGCGGCTCGGCGGCTGCAGGGAGGCTTCACTGCCGGGGGGTTGACCAGCCCATGTCACTGAAGGGTCCCTCGCCCGTGGCCGACCTCGGGGGGGGACCGCAGGGCGTGCAGAGGTCAGAGTCGGTGTCTGACTCCCCTTCTGCAATGTAGGGTCTGATTTTGGCCACGGCTGCATAGCAACCGTTGTTAAGGATGTCCAAATTCTCTTTGGACTGGGAGATGCTAAAGCCGCTGAAAGAGCGCTCCAGTTCCTCGTGGTCCACCGAGGGGATGGAGATGGACGTGTCGCTGTCTCTCATGGCACTCTCGTGGTGTTTGGTTGTAATGTCTTCGTTCCTCAGGTACTCCGCGCTCGCCCGGTGCCCGCCGCTGTAGGCGGACAAGGAGCGCTCGTGGGAGGGTGGAGGTGGGATCCGGACCAGCGAGCCGGGGTCTCCAATGGGAGAGGAGCCGTGGCTCTGCCGCTGGCACGACGTGGAGGGCGGGCAGGCGTTGCTTGGGGCTGGTGGGGCGGAGAAGTTCTTCTGACCCATGGAGCTGGTGGACCTGATGATCTTGATGATGCAGCCGTTCTTGTCGATGTGCTCCCTGCTGTCTTCGGGGCTGTGGTAGGGAGGGGCTGGGTCTGGTTCTTTGGACCCAAAGTAAGCCTCTGTCTCCGTTGGTGGGATGCCCATCCGCTGCATGTAAATGTTCACCAGGAAGTCCAGCTTCTTCTCCATGGACTGAACCTGCAAAAACATCACAGTTCCAGCACTACATGCAGGCTGAAGCACATTAACATCCTGAGGATGAGCAACTTCTATCCAGGCACAAGTGTGGGGCTGGGCTTCATAGATCACCTCAGCATCTCAAACCCCACAGCATCTCAAACTTTTAGTGAATATTTAATTGTCCTGTTCTGAAGGGTTTAATTCTCCCCCTTTTTACAGGGTTTCCCTTGTTACAGGATTTTCCGTATGCTCCTCTAATCTTTATGACAGGCACCAAGTTCTAGAAAAGCTGGAACACACTTGCTTCTTCCAGCTCCTTCCTGCACTTTGCACTTCTCTGGGCTCAGAAGGCCATCGGGATTTCTGAGCCTTATGCTCTAGGAAGATTTTAAATCTTCAGCAAGACCAGCAGCTCCAGCAGCCATGCTCAGGGACTCATTTGAAATGTGTCCAGTGTGGTGGCAAAGAAACCAATGTGCCATTTTCAAAAATAATGCAGGCTTTTGACAAACTCACTAAACTAGACTCAAAGTGCCTGGTTTGAAAGTAGCACTTAGGTTTCCAATGCATTTAGTGTCCTTTCATAACATCCACCTTTCTTCTTTTTCAAAGTATTCAGGGCTCTCTTTTTTTTCAACTAAAAGGTAACATTCCACTGAAGGAAAAAGCCAAGGAAAAACCAACACAATGCATGCAACACCCTCTGACAAGAACCCCTTCCTGACCCAAGATACCTGTTTTTCAACTTTTCCAAGCCTGCCCATCATGCTGGGGTCTTCAGGCAGCTCCCCTTCTGCTGGCCCTTTGGTCCGATCCTTGTCGGTCATGGAGGATCCTCTCCCAACAATCTGGTCAACTCTACCGGGATCAGAAAATCCCCCCGCCCCCGGAAAAGGACTGGAGTCAGTTGGAGGCAGCAGGTGAGGAGGGCACTGCTTGTTGTGCCTCCACGGGACAAAGCAACAGCCTCTCTCCCAGCTAACACTCCAAATTACTCACAGACACGCAGTGGCACTGAAGTGTTAATTCAGATGCAAAATTCAGAGCGGTATTAGCAGAGTTTGAAATTATCCATTTCTGTTTATACAGATAAAACCTGGCACATTATGCACAGTAAATTTACCCACGGCAAAGAATTTCTTTAACTGGCTTTCTTCCAAATTGATTAACTTCTTATTTGAACTGAGAAATTATTGTTTTGGGGGAAGATCAAGTTTTCTGTCTAGCAAGTATCAATGGGATCTTTTTCAGTCTTTGCAGCAGTTTCCTCTCCTCCATGCAAATGTCCATGTGTAATTCTCATGTCCATGAAAATAAGCTGCTTGTCCTAAAATCCAGACAAACAGGTGCAGTGATAACTGTTATAGTGGAATTACATCAAGGCTGAATTTGGCCTGAACTCGCCAAACATTACCAAACTGTTTTCATCTCAATGCAGTTCACACCTGTACTGCTAGATTTAGTGTTTTTTATTAGCAGGGCTCCCAGCTGGGAGAGCAGAGAAGGCTCCTGCCAAATCAACTGGGAAAGGTTACCAGGCACATAATTTGGTACTGTCTTCTTTACACATGTCACATTTGCACTTCCTTATTCCCAGTATGGAAACACCTGGGTTGATTAACAGCTCCATGTGCAGGAAAAGGAGGAGGGCAGAACCAGTCTGGAAGCTGGAATTCAATTTTATTAGAGGCATCAAATATAAATTTCTGGAGAGTAAACACTGGAGCTTCTTGATCCCTCCAAAGTCCAGGAAGCAACTAATTTTTGGAATAACTTCTTAATGGCAGACAAGTTTATAGACTAATTCTGTGCTGGGCAAACTTTACTCTTGCATAATGCACCAAACGTAAGGGTGGCAGGGGGAAAGAAGGGTTAATTAATCTGACTGAAACCAAGTTGAGGAATCTTGAGCGAAAACTCAAAATGCTTCTTACACAGTTCTGCCGTGTGGGCCATGGGTCCATGCACCAGGAGGAAGAAAAGGAAGGAGCTGAACACAGACAGACAGGGGAAAATGAACAAAACAAAAACCAAGGAAAGGAATGAGACGTGAGGCTATTTCCAACACAAGAGCCATCTGTTTGCTTCACATTGGACAGGGACTTCATACTGATGTTGGCTGTTGACACTGAGGGATAGGTACCAGTGGGAATGGACCAGCGTGGCTCCCTTAGCTTATATTAGAGCAACAGCACTTTACAGCACCAGATCTGGCTCAAAGGGATGAAGTGGATGAGCACATCATACCAAAGACAGAAAATATAAGCCAACAATTGTTTCGGAGTTTAGCTTTGATCCCAGAAGCTACTTGATTTGGGCAGGGATGTGACAGAAATCTGTTCTGCTTAGAAAGCCATGTTTGATCATTTGCTTAGCAATATAAGCACAGGAGTACAAGGAGCACCAAGTGCTGGAATTACAAGTGTGAGGAATATGCATGCCTTATTTCTCTCTTGTAATGGGAGAAGGAAGTCACTGACATTTACAGGAACTCCCCACGAGGGATGCAATTACTGACAGGACATACAGCACAAGAAATCCTAGGACAATGTCGTTACCATGTAAGCAAAGAGCTGTTAAATTGGATACCTCGGGCTACCTTGGTGGGGAATCACAAGCCAAGGCGTGGTACAGCCACTGTATGAACTCCTCTCCTGTATGCACAAGCAAGTAGACTGGTAAAAGAATGAACATGAGTTTAAAGAGGCCCAAAGTCCAAATGTTACTGAGTATTGCAGAAGGCCGAGAACAATCAGGGTACTCTGTCCTCCTGTCGCATCCAGCACCACAGTGACACTGAAATATGTCCACTAATGGAAATGAGACGTCCCTCAGCAGCTGTGGAGTAGAGCAGGGAGGCAGGACAGACTGTGACACAGAGAGGAGAACCCAACATTGCATCGTAACCCTAATTCTAACCTTGCAGAAACCAAGGCAGGACTTCTGCTGTATTTCATATCTGAAGAGAGGAGCTATCCAGTGAGTGAACCTCACATGGCCCATTTCAGGGGCCAGCTGCACTTCACAGCTGGAGTGATCACTAAGAAGAGCACTAAGCTGTTGCTCACTTTCAAGGACACAAATTGCCTTTAGACCTGCTGGGATTTAGGAGCAGGGCTGAAGCCCTTCACAGAGCTCACCCATAAAGCATTTAGAAGCCCTTCCCCATTATATAATTGACACCAGAGCCCAGAATTCCCTCTTGATTAATTCCATTTGTCTCTACACCTGAACATAGTCCTGACTCCTGGGGTAGTTGTCTTCCACAGCTCTGAGGAAGCAGAGCCAGACCTCTCCTAGGAGGCAGAGCAGCACCAAGGATGGTGCAGGGGAGCAGCTCTGGGCCTCTGGCATCAGTGCAGGGAGGGGAGAAGGTGAACCAAGTCCTTTTCTCTTTACGGGAGAAACCAGTCTCAAGGTCTCCCACCCCTTTGCTTCCCATGGCACAAGCTGGAGCACAAAGCAAACCTACTCTCAGCAAAGCCCAGATTTCATTTGTGCCTTATGTGATACAAGAGAAAAGAGGAAATGCCTTGTGAGCTCCCAACCCACCTGCACCTAGCTCAACACCACCAAGAGCAGGAGGTCCTTTTAGCCATTACAAGATTTTGAGATTTTGTCCCAACTGGGCAAAAAAGCTCAAAAGATGAAGAAGAAGGAACATATTCCACTTTAGGAAGCAGAAGGGAATAATTCATGTTCTTACTGCATGACAGAGGACCAAGAATCTTCTGGGATTCCCATCCCACTTCTACACTACAGGTCATGGGGAGATTGTGTCTTGTCAATACTTATTTTTGCTGTGCAAAATAAACATGTGCAGAGGGAAGAATTCAGCTGAAGCTTTGGAAGAGCCAGCCCCATGTTCCTCCTTTCCTGGCAGAAGAGGATTCAGAGATTTCTAAGGATGCACAACCAACTGTGCCATCTGCTGTTCTTGGTCGGCTCTGCTGGGCCTCAGTTTGGGAGGGAGAGAGAAGAGGGGATTGCTCTTTAAAGTGGACTTTACTGTCTTTCCTTCTTTCTAATGATACAAAAAAAAATGTAAATTCTTGCATCAGCCACAGTGCAGGTTTTCTCATGCTTCATTATGCTTCATGCTAACAGTGCATGCAAAGAGGTGTAATATGTCAGCCTCGGGCCAGAAGCAGACATCAAAAGGTCAAACGGCTCAAATGAGATAAAAATGAAGTGTTTGGGAATAGATAGTCAAGTATTTTCCTTTTTTTTTTTCCTTTATCTCTTATAAATTTTCGTAAACAATCCAGGCATTGAAGCCAAACCCCCTTCATCCATGTCACAGGACTGGCTACTTACCCCTTCATTTGGCAATAAAACTTGCTCTGGACAAATTTCTATCAACAACTGTTTTCTAAAAATTACAGCTGAGATTGCACCTATTCTAAGCTAAATCAGCTGATCAAGGGAATTTTATCCAAATTGCCTGTGTGTAGAGCATGGAGCAAACACCATCAGCCAAACCACAGCTGTGGGCATCTACCAGGATCCCCCTGACCTTTCTAGGAGCTGATTGAAGAAAGATTTTGGCTGAACTGAGTAATCCATGGGGTCAAGACAGCTCATGGGAAATCCCTCCCATAATGTTTCTCTGGGCAGTACTTGGCTAAAACAAGGGGTGCAGACTGAAAAGGAGAGGCTGGAGCCATCCATGGGGACCTCACAGGACACAGACCCACGTGGTGTTGGGGTGACAAAGACCATGGCAGCAGCAGAGCCTGACCCAGGGTTTTTGGGTTTGGGGCTGCTCAGAGCTCTGGTTCTCATCCCTCAGCCCCTTGAGCACCTCACAAGTGCTGCTGGTGTCTGTGGGAGGATGAAACTGCCAAAAATTAAGTGTAGCACATGCCTTTTCATGGGTGGGAACAGAGATTTCAGCAGCCTTCTGTATCCTGCTGCTTTCTGCAGCCACAGCTTGGTAAGGGGGAAAGGAAAAAAAACACTGGCAAAGGGAGAATTTACGAAAAAAAAGTCTAAACATCCCAGGAGCCTTGTGGGCATGTGCAAAGATTTTTAAATCAGTATTAGAAACTGTATAAATGGTGGGGGGAGAGTTATTAGCATCAAGCTGATACAGCAACAGTCTTGGACTGAATAAAATAAATATTCCAGTTTGAGGCCTCCTCCCCTCAGATCCATCAATCACCTTTGCTGTGTGTGAGGTGCAAGTTTTCACATGAAAATCTTGCTTTTAGTGAAGGCTTGTTGGACATATAATTCTACAAGTCAAATACAACAAAATCCATTTGAATATGTATTTTTAAATTTAAATATAAATGTTTCTGCACGTAGCAAGGTTATTTTGTTTTCAAAGACTTCTTATGGCAGGGAGGAAGAATGGGGAAAACTACTTTTCTGAAAGCATTTTTTTTTTTCAAGCATTAAGCTTTGAGCTTCTAGAAAATTCAATTTTTTTAATGTTTGAGCTAGCTGAGTGGGAAAAGGTAAGCTTTCAATATTCCTTTTACTTACATTTCTCTAGTGAAGATTACTCAGAGCAGCTTAAATAAAAATCAAGAGATTTGTCACATATTAGCTCTTAGGGAGGCAAATATATTTAGGGAAAAAATATTTGAGGCTAAGATTACTGCATTTAAAAATCACCTGCTATTCCTGCATGGAAAATTACTTTCTGGCAAATATTTATACCTGCCTTGGGCTCTAGTGGTCTCAGTGCAAGGAGAAAAAACAGCCCAGCTCATGGCCTTGCTGCCCAGACCTCAGAATGCCCTAAACTGGGAATTTTTGTGAGAATATATTCCTCATTGCATGAGCTTCAGATATGGTTTTACTTAGGGAAGGAACTTAATGAGAACTATCTCACTGTGTGACTGAGGGCTGGGTTTGACTCCTGCTCTTTTGCTTGGAAAATCAGGATTGATTTCTTATTTTTCAGAATATGAGTCCCATGTTTGTAGTATTTTAACACAATTTTTTCCTCCATGGTCAATAGAGTGGCACCAGGTGGAAATAGAGATCACTGCGTTCATCAGCTATAAAACACTTCATTCTTACTTTGCCCACTGAAATAAACTAATTTTGTTGTCCAAAGAACTGCAGAGGCTCCTTTGCTTGTGTGTGGATGGTGTCATTCTTTAGGAAGTGGATTGTTCACTTTATATTGGCTTTGTGGGTAAATATTCCATCTTCTACGTTTAAAGACAGCCTGATAAAATATGAGATCTTTTAAAAAGATACAATTTAGCTTTCTAACACCTCAAAGAAGACTGAAAATAGAAAATAGGCTCGCTGAAGGAACTGATGGTTATTGATGACTGAATGAACATCCCCTTTTTTGTTCCCCTCTGGCTTGAAGGCAAATCAGAGCACACCCAGAGCAGCAAACCCTTGCGAGTCATGATTTAGCAGGCTGCACTGCTAAGTGAGAAATGCCGTCATATAACTGGCATGAAAGGGGTTTGACATTAAGCAAATGAAAAAAATTCCGGAGAAAGCGGCATTTTGGTGAATCCTAACCTAGGCGAGTATTGGGGAGACTCTTTGGAAGAATACATGGGTCCTTTGGTTGGATACTTCTTATGCCGGGGAGTTGAAGGGGGTGGGGGACCCACAATCATATCTATCCTGGCAAAGTAAATAAGAAAAAAGACACCAGCAAAATGCATAATGAAGCAACACATAGAGAAAAGTTGGTCAGAGAAAAGTCGCAGAAAGAAACAACTGACAAACAGAAGGACAGGGAGAGAAAGAGAGAGAAATTGAAAATATACTCCGCTGGAAACAGAAGGCTCTCGCCTACCACCTGGTTGTTGGTGAAAAACCAGAGTCTTACCCACCTCAGGGTAAGATTTGGAGATTCGGGCACCACTGCATCATCATTAGGAGCTCCCCCCGCCCCAGATATAACAGGCACCGTGCTTTACCCTCTGGAATATATTTGCATATGTGTGGCAATATCCCATTGAGGTGGCTGGATATGAAACAACATATATTCATCCTCCTTTCAGTTCCAGTGCTAGAGAACACATCCTCAGCTAGTTCAGGGAAGCATGAGCTGCTGGGAGTCGGCGAGGAACGCTGCAGGGCTGGATAACTCAATGAATGGGAGACATCCATGGTTGGCAAGGTGTCAGGATGGAACACGAGACAATGTGAACACAACACTGAAAAGAGCACATTGCAGACACAGTGACAGAGGCTTTACTGATTAAAGAGGAAAGTACATGTAAACACCCCAGAAATGTGCTTGGATGCAGCTTTAATCCACCACGGCCCTGGCTAGGGGAGGTCAGAGCCAGCCCTGCCGAGCTGGGCTGGCAGGCAGAACACGGGGCTCTGATTGATGAAGGAAAGGGACACTAAAATATCTGTTCTGCAAGGTGCCCCATGACTTCCTCCCTGCAATCCACCATATGGGTGCAAGGTCCAACACTGGCCATGGCCTTGTCTACAGGGGGCCCTTCCAGTTGCACTGGGCAGGTGCCCAGCCACGGGACTGGTTGGTGCTCAAAGGGTGGCCCAAAGGGGTCTGCTCCCATCACCATCACTGATCTCCTGCTCAGTGGGAACAGCAAAATCAGTGAAGCTGCCTGGTAGTCTTGGATCCCAAATCCAGGTGCTTCATGCTTTTGAAGCAGCTCCTGGTCCTCCTGGCTTCCCTCTGAGAGGACGGGTGGTGGCCTTGTCCAGCCCCAGAACCTCATCCTCACAGTCCCAGACCTACAGCTAAGAGGAGAATCCAGTTTGGTCTCTGAAAGCTGCAATTCCTTACCTGAACCAACAGACATAAAAACAGACAACCAAACTGCTTTGTCTTTGCAGCACATGTCCCTGAAGGACTGGCAGACCTGGATGGGTGGTGAGGCAATCTGCCACAGCCCTCAGGGTGCTGGAGACTCAGGCATCCCACCTGGAGCCAGCAGAGATGACAACCCCAAAGCCCAGGACCCACTGCAGAGGTGACCTCAAGGCCTCTTATTTCAGGTTTCTGAAGTTAGGAAATCTCAATCCCTTCTCCCTCTATATTCAGCTACACATCTTGGATCTATAATCACTGAATTTGTACAGAACAGAAGTGAGAGGCTCACACAGAGGAAATTCTCCAGGATATTTTGGTCTCCATTGCAAGGGAGAATGTTCCTTCTGGGAAAAGCACAGTGTGCAGCAGGGCTGAGAAAGTTACCTCTGCGTCTTGAACATCAAAAAATAGCAGAGTTAAAATGGTCTCTGAGAGATTCATGGCAGAACAGAGATTCCTCTTTTTCCCAAGACAATTTTCCTACTTCATTCCTGAGGTTCATGCCAGCTGTTTGCATAAAAAAAACCCGCTTCTTTTTTCTTCACATTTGCTGACTCTACCAGGGACTTAAATGGTTCTGAAATTAAAGGAAAACTTCCTCAATGGCTTCTAGGGGAAGCTGGGCTGCCACAGCCATCAAGGGAAGCAATTTCATTCTCCAAGTGTAAAAGAAAATGGTGTATTTTTTTGACTGGAGATTGCCCATGGCCAAGCCCTGCCATAGTTCTGAGTGTCCTTCAAGCTCTGCAGAACTGGAGCTACTTCTGCTGAGCTAACACAACCAGCGCTGTTGGAGGCTTGGGGTCTACTTTTCCCATCAGGGCTGAGGGAAGAGTGGTCAGACTAAAAGATTAAACTTTGATCCTCTGTTCAAGGAATCAAGCTTCTGTGTTTGAGGGATCTTTTTTTCTTCCAGGAGAAACATGAAAAACATGAAACCTTCTCGGTTCCATTTGTCCCTTTCCACATTCCTTCTCCTGTAAAAATGAGCACATCTTGCCCTAAAATCCGAGCACAGAAGCTGAAATGAAGCTCAGCTAAACCCCACCTACGTCGGTGGGCTTGGATGAGAAACTCCCATCTGCATGGATTTTCAGCAGACTGTGCCATCCGAGGAGGGATTCCTCCTGAAGCGGCTTAGCATCCCAACGGTGGGAGGGAGCTGCTGCCTCCTCACTGCTCTCTGTGCCTGTGGCAGCAGGGCCACAGCCAGGACACCAAATTTTGTCTTATTTCACTCCCACAAAGGTACCAAGTGACCCACATGAGCCTTAACACTGGGGCACCAAACCTTTGCACCCTGCCAGGAGGACCGTGGAGACACCCCCCTGCCTTTCCTATGGGATATACCATATCGCCAAAAGCTCCCAAAATAAAGCAGGAGGATGAGCCATGATTTTTGTATGTCCTGAGATGGGCAGTAAGGGAGTTTTAGGGCAGTCCCTGTCCTGCTTATCCCTCTGGGTTCCAGCCATAAGCGCTGATGTCTTCCATGGGGATTTGTCTTAAAAAGGAAAAGAATAAGCTGTAGCTGCAAATGGAAGTGTCTCTCTCCTGAAAATACCTCCACAGTGAACAAAAAGCAGTGGAAACTGAAGCAAAGAGAGGGGTCTCTTGCCTGGCCTGAAGGTTTTTAATCCGGGAGAGCATGTCCAGGTGCCCAGCTGAGTACTGCTCGATGACGTCCATCACGTCGTAGGGCCGAAGGCTCTCCTTAAACTTGCGCTTGGAGACCAGAAACCTCATAATGCTGCAGGAGACAGAGAGCAAAATCATAACACACCCCTGGGTGCAGCCTGACCTGCTTAATGGTGGATAAAAAACACTGCAGGGAGCTGCTTTGGAAGGAAAATGGAATAAATCCCAACCCTGTGGGTTTGGGGGAGGATGCAGCAAGAGGAGAGAGGAAGGGGATTGCGGGGGCTGGTGGCTGAAGCCCTGTCTGCACCAGGGGGTCCCTGATGCCCCTTGGACTGTCATCTGTGCATGTGCTCTCTGCACCACTTTTAGAAATGTCAGCATTACATTCAGAGCTGGTGAGAACTGTCATTTGGATGCATCCCTGCGGGGGATTTTCCTGTTTCTCCATTTATTCCTTCCATAAGCAAAAATTGTCCTTCCTGGCAAAATTGTCTGCAAAGCAGGGCAGGCCACCCAGGGGAAAAGCAGCCTGCAACACACACATGTCAGCATTTGCCAGCACTTTTCAGGCTTTACACTTCTCATTCTTCTCTAAAATTTTTTTTTCTGGACCGCTTCCCCCCTCTCCCTCTCTTACCACACTGCCCTGATGCTGACTTTCAGCCCTGGTGTCAAATCTTCTGTCACAAACTCGCAGTTGCAGCTTTTGTTCTCATCAGGAATGTCTTCTCCAGGGAGGCTTGCTTCTGGGTTTGGGACAGGGAAGGAGAAACACAACACGTTACTGTTTGCTGTGCCAGTGCTGCACAAGGAAAGATGCGGCAGATCAAAACCAGCAACCCCAGGGGAAGCAGCAGAGAAGCCTTTGCTGAGCATCCAGATGAGAGCATTTCCCAGGATGTGCTTAGGTGATGTTCAGCAGTGCCAAGTGCAGCTCTCACCCATCCCTATTATCAGTGAATCCCAGTATCATTTGGGCTGGAAAAGCCCTCTAAGGTCATCAAGTCCAACCATTCCTCCAGCACTGCCAAGCCCAGCCACAAAATCATGTCCCTAAGTGACACATCTAGATGTGTTTTAAATCCCTTCAGGAAGGTGACTCCACCACTGCCCTGTGTAGCCTGTTCCAGGGCTTGACCACCCTTTCAGAGAAGGAATTTTTCCTAATATCCAACCTAACCCTTCCCAGCACACCTTGAGGTAATTTCACCTTGTCCCAATCCTGACTCTTCCTCCTTTTCCCATCCTTATATACAGAAATACCAACATTATCATGGGTATCAGAAGGGGTTTTCTTGCCTCTTCTAATCATTATTGACAAGTTTGGGTTGTAAGGGACCTTTTAAAGGCCCTCTAGCCCAATGCCCTGCAATGGGTAGGGACATCTTCAACTTGATCAGGTTGCTCAGGCTACTCCGAGCTAAAAGACTGGGAGAGGAAGGAGTCCCAACACCTTGGCTGGCAGCTCTACCCTTCTTAGGTGGGGAGGGAGAGGATGTTGGGGCCAGCTGGGAATTTAGGGTCCAGCACAGCAGCCCAAGCCCTCACCTTCCGAGTTCTGCCGCGACGCCGCTCCCTTGATGCGGAACGCTTGCCGGGCTCGGCTGCGGTCTCCGAAGCTCCAGCTCTTGGGCACTTTGCTCGGGCTGTCCTCGATGCTCTGGTCAGCACTGGGGGACCTCCTGATGCCCTGAGCCTGTGGAGAGCCTTTCCCTTTGGTGCCAGCACCGCGGGGACTGGAGAAGACACGATCTTTCAAACTGACCTTCTGACTGTTCAGAGAAACACGTTGAAACAAAGACAAAAAGGAGACAGCAGGAGGAGTCATTCTGGAAACCACGCAGTCCTTCCCCACCAGCCATTAGAAACCAAGAGCACTTCCAAGCAGCAGTGACATGTAGCTTTGCTGTTGGCTTTTTTTTTTTTTTTTTCAAAATGTGTTTTTTATTTTTGTTTTAAAGAAAGCATTGTAGAAATGTTTCCGTCATCATGAGTGAAATGGGAATGGTTTGTAAGAGAGAGAAAATAATGAGGACTTAAACAGAAGCCCCTCATGGGATGCCAGGGCTGGCGGGACAGAATGACATTAACAATGAGGTTATGATTCCTTAAATCACTGATCGGCTCCGATCACGAGTTAGGAAGCTTTTCTTTCACAACTGCCTTCCAAAACACTATGGCTAAAAAGAAAATACCAATTTAAAAAACCCCAAACCACCATCTTAAAACTTTTGTGCAAATACTTCTGGTGCTCAGATCTGTCCTTTCCTTTTCTTCAGCTCCTGTATTTCCTTCCTCTTAAAACATGATCTGCCCCCTTTATATATTCCAAAGAATTCCTCTTTATCCAGTTACATATTGAAACACATAAATACAAACACTGTGCAACTCCTTTGTATGCTATAAAAATCCTATCTAAAAGCTATCTACCATCTCCCTCGAGGTCTGCTATGGCTGTCATAAACATGGAAAGCAAAATTTTAAAACTCCAGAATATGGCACTTTCATACCTTTTTTTCCTACTATAATCTTTGCAATTATGGTTGGAAAAGAAGGTCTCTCCAGAAACAGAGACCTCACTGGGAAATAGTGACCACCCAGCTCTAATTAATTTCCAAATTCTGAAATTTGCATTTAAAGACTTTCACCCAAATGAAGATCTTGAATTTTCATGTGAAAATTTAAAAACAAAGAGTTTTTGTGAATCTTTATGAAACCACAAACCTTATAGAGACAGCACTGAGGAAAGCAGACTGCAAATACTTTTGCATAATTTCATATTTTCTTAATAGCAATCAATGATTCAACTCCACTGATTAGAGCTTGGACAACCAATGCAAGATAGTTGCACAAATAGCCAATATTTTATATATAGGTATATCAAAACTGAGTGAAGACAGGGATTGAATTCCCAGCATTCTGTACCATTGCAGCAGCCACTTATCATTCTGCTGCCAACTCTCTGCCGCAATTTGCGGGAAGAACATTTCAGAAATTTTAATTTCCACATCACCAACCAAAGACCTGCTTTTTTTTTTTTTTTTTTTTGTATGCCTTTCAGCAGCACCAACTTAAAAGTCAGAGCCCCACGGCCCTTCTTTGCTTTCAAAACTGGCACGAGGTTCCTCAACGAGAACTTGGCTGCTGGTTTTGAAGCAAAGCAAAGCGCTGCTCCCTTTTCCCAGCCGCCGGCTGTTCCCTGCTGACAGGAGCAGACACCAGCTCCGGCCAGCCAAGGAAGAAGATGTGACTCGAGGACACTCAGGGAGCAGATTTGTCGACTAAGAAGGTGCTATTTTTACGAACTCACTTTATATTGCGAGACAACAAACGTTTACAGGGAGAGAAAGGTGCTTAGGCAGCATTTTGCAGAGTTTTGTGGGGAGGGCATCCCCTGGGCTGCAGGGAAGGGCTGGCTGCGGCCACAAGCTCAGCAGCAATTTCACATTGAAAGATGGGTTGGAAAGAAAATAAAATTTGCTCATGACCAAATTAAAAAGGCAGAATTATTCCAGTTAAAGATGAATTTTAATTCAGGTAAGTGCTGGGGATTGAATTTCCAGTGTGGTGCCCATCTGCAGGGTCTGTCTGAAAGCCATGGGATCAGCAGAGCTGAAATCCAGGTCAGAGGTACAAATCCACCCAGGATTCTGGGAATAAGCACATGCCTAAACACCTTTCTGGATGTAAGCCTTCATTACTAATGCTACCAAAACCGTCGTACATAATGTGCCAAAGGTTTAAAGGAAATTCTCACTCTGAGTTTCTTGGATTAGAAACCAGATTGAAATTTCATCATTTGATTCTAAATAGGGCAACTGGATCTTCTTTCTTTATTTTTGACGATTTTAAAGAATAATATTTCTTGAATCTACTGTGTTTCAGTAGTAGTATTACTTTGAATTACCTTTTTAAAAAGTAAGTTTTATCAAAATGCTTTAACAACACAGCAATATTCAGAATTCAAAGTGATCCCTTTGTGCCCTATCCTCTGCTGAGTTTCTCCCATCACCAATCCCAGCATAAAACCAGTTGCCTTTCACTGAGTATGGCAGTACCTTTTACTTGGAGCCTCTTTTCCATTCCCACAACAAATGTGCTACAAATGTTTGCAGGAATCACAAAAAGCAAAAAAGAAAGGGTTGAACTTGGTGAGGGATACAAGCAAAGAACTTTGATCCTGAGAGCATGAGGAGAAGCACATTAAAAAATCTCATAGAAATCTGATGAACAATTGAGATTCAGATTCGGGTGGGTTTTGTTCCCAAGTACTCACTAAGGAAAAAAACCCAACACTTGATGTAACTTCTTGGTTTTAACACAGACGACATGAGACATCATGAACAACTTATAGAATTTTTCCTTCTGCCATGCAATTCCCTCATTGGAAACGACACCTGGAATCACATGCAAGTACAATCCCTGCAGAGGAGGATGCTGTTGGGGTCTGCAGGAGCTGGCAGGGAAAAAATCCCAAAGAAATACAGACATACATAGGCATATATGTTGTCAGCTAATCCAAGATCATGTTCTCACTCAACCAGAAAGTCATGCAGGGGGACGTAGAGTGCCTCAGAGAGGTGGTGTTGGGATGTCACTCCAGGATGGTAATGAGCCTCAGTTGAGTGGGAGGTGTTGGTGACACGAAGGTGAGGACAGCAGGGACAGATGGACGCTCACAGTCGTGACAGCGGCACGAGCACGGGGCAGGAGCTCTGCTCGTGCCAGGGGAGGGAAGGGAAAGGGAACTGTGGCTTTGCAACCAGAGGCACAGATTAGGGGAAGCCACAACAGCCTATCAGGTTTAAATCACAGGTTTAAATCAGGCTGTGATTTAATTCTAAGTCCACTCCAAACGGCACCTATGAAAACAGATTTGATAGCAAAAAATTGCATTTCCAGGCTGACTGTGGGAAAGGTTTATAAATATTCAGGTTTTTACTTGAATTTAACTAAGGATAGAAACTGAGCTGACTTTTCTCTGTTGCCAGTCAAAAAATGAGAGTCCATGCTGGAGAAACTGGATGACATTCACTGCTTTAGTGGGCTTTGCATTTTGGTTAAGTCCAACTGCCCAGCACTCAGCAGAGAAAGGCACAAGTACTGACCTTCAAAATGAGCTGCCATCAGCCTCCTTAGGATGCCAGGGGTTTAAGCTCCTGTTTGAAATGCTCTGGTTTGGGGTTTATTCCAGTTCTCTATAGTATTAAATCAGCACTTTAAAAAAATGTGGACTCATTACATTAGCAGTAATTTTAGATCAATAGAAAGTATCAGTTGTAAGGTCTTGTCATTGATTTTAAACTATGCTTGAGCCATTACTTAATTTTCTTCTCAGCTAGCCAGAATGAGTCTGACTAGCACAGACCCAGATCCATCTCTGCATCCACACTCAACCAGTATCAGTGCTCATCCTTCTGAGAAGCTGTGGCCAGGAGAAAAAGGCTGTCTCCTGTTGGTAAATGAGGGGCTTTTTTTAAATCAAGAGTTTGTGCTGAGCTTGTGGCATATGAGAACAACTCATTAAAACCAGGCAGGAGTGCCAGGAATGAATGATGGCCTTTGTGATTATCACAAGGCTCCAGTCTGCTTGCTGCTGTGAGTAAGAGGCAGACAACAATTACTGGAGACATGAAGGAAAGGAAAATAAAACTGTGTATGCAAAATTTACCACGACTAAAACAAAAACCAAGAGAGGGCCTGGATCAAGCCTGGTTGGCCTCCAGTGATTCCAGAAAAAAACATTGCTGAAAGGTGAATTCAGCCTAGAGAACGCAGTTTCTAGAAGCAGAGAAACCTGGACATAAGGGGAACAAAACATCAGCCAGTGATCCTGTCACGGTGAGTAATCCCTCTCCTTTTCCTCATCCACAGCCACGGTGCTAGACTTGGATGGGAGCCACTGATGCTGTGACGGTGAAGACTGGAGTTGCACCATCCCTGCAGCCACCCCACAAGCACAGGAAAGCACAGGGCCTCGGATGAGTGAAGGGACAGTGGAGCCAGACTCACGTCTGTAACCTTTGCTGTCCTGCAGCATTCTGCTATGATCACCCAGCTCTTCCTAATTCCCAGCCCTCCTCTCCCAGACTGATGCTGAGTGCTGTCAGACACCACATCAGCCACATCCTGCATCTTCTCCCAGCCGTTTGCTGTTTGCCAGCTCGGCTGTTCTGCATTTCGGGAGCAAAGCAAAGCAGCCAGGCTGCACCTCCGAGCTGGCTGATCATTCCCAAACCAGCCTTTAAGGAACCTGCTCCACACAGAGCCACAGGCCAGTCAAGGGCTCTGCAAACACCTCTCCTTCACTGCTCTGGGTGCTCTTCCTACTGTGAGGTACCCTCGTCTCTGAGTGTGCCGGGAAAGTCTCTTACAAAGCAGAATATGATAGAGCTGATAATCTGGCTTGGTGTAGTTACATTACTGTCTAAAAATGAATGTGTTATTGCATTTATTGACTAAAGATCATTGGTTTAGTACATTAAGAAACCACAGCTTCTAAGGAGTTTCCTATTAATTTACCTACATTGAGTTTTCCATGATTGCCTCATCATGTGCTGTTATTTCGTTATGTGCATCCTAGATGAAGGCTTTTAGCACTCAGCCTGAGCTGCATCAAAGTGCTGGCATCTGCCCCATGAATTTGTGCAGTGGGGATTGGTGGCACACACCCAAGGGTTCAGAGAAACAAGACATCTGAAACAAGACATCATTATTTTTGCATCCCTTAACAATTAACCCACAGTTCTACTAAATCACAGGGTGTATGACA